TTCAGATCACATCTAAAGTCAGATTTGGGAATAGAATTCATTTATAATCTGGCAGCTGTCTGTATTGATTAGTGAACTTAAAAACTCACAGCTGTCAAGTCATTTCCAACTTCATCAGGCCTACAAGACTGTACAATGCAGTGAGTAGATATTATCCATCTTTTTCCCAAGGAGCTGCTGGTAGATAAAGCTGCCAGAGATATGCAGCCCCTGGGTTAGCATTCAAGAACACCCCATGAACTACACCACCAGAGCTGGCTATGCAAAAGGCAGAGAGTAATAGACACAAAGACACGAAAGAGCATTTCGCATTTGGGAACTCAGAATAGCAGTAGCTAGATCTGCCTGTCCTTTGATACTGTCTCCTAATCAGAATTAACTCATAGCTCAACCTCCAGTGGGTTTAAGAGACTGAGTCTCAAAGGAGATTGCCCATCTTTCTCCCAAGGATCTTCTAATGGCTTTAAACTAGTGTGGTGTCACTCCATGCACTGCACCACCAGAACTCCCCTTAGTCAGGCTTAGTCAAGAAACAAGAAAATCATGCACCTGGTGTTAAAAACAATGTATTAGAATTTTGTAAATAAACTACTGCTAAGAAAAAAAAAAGAAAATCATATGCCCGGCAGATGATGTGATTCTCTGTCTTGAAGAACCTGAGTTGAAAATTCGCATGCTCAGATTGTCTGCTAGGTCTTTCTGGCACCAGTATGGACAGTGGGCTAGAGAGGCTGTTACTGCAGTTGGGATGTCCTTGAAGATAGTCATAGAAACAAAAGATGCTGAGAACCTGAGTCAAAGCCATAGTGAAGGGTAGCACAATAACGGAAATCTTTAGGAGGGAGAATCCAGTATGATGACAAGTCAACTATGACATAGCAGTGGCTCTGAACCTAGTGCTATCTTGAACCAGACTCACCGACTCAGACGTACCTGACCCACTGTCACAGTTACTGTGACAATCCATCTCATCCAGGTCTGCGCTGACGCTCTCCCCTTCCAAGCATGATTTCCTTCTCCAACGACTGGTACCTCCTGGCAACATGCCCAAAGTATGTGAGACAGAGTTTAAAAAATCTTTGCTTTTAATGAGCAAATTGGTTTCACTCACTCCAGGACAGACCTGTCTGTTCTCTTGGCAGTCCATGGTATGTTCAATACTCTTCTCCAGTACCACAACTTAAATGCATCAGTTATTCTCCTAAAGTACCATATATTGAGATGGGAGCCGTTTTAAAAAATGTTTTCTTTTCATTGATGAAATAATTTCAGTAGTTCTTTTACCTACTTAAATTTAATCCTACACCAAACTCAATTTTGCATGTGCTCAGGTTTTGAATCAAAGAAATTCAGTGTCTTCCTGACTCCACCCCCCACAAAATAATTCAATAGTCCAAGTTTTTCTACTCTTTCCAATCCATTTTGTAAGCTAGTATCAAGACCATCAAGGAAGTCTAATAAGCAAATCACATACTATTTTGAGTATTTTATTTTGCAGGGTGGCAGACTATGCAGAAAAAAATAAAATGAACTCCAAAAATCTGGGATTGATATTTGGTCCTTGCCTCATTAAGCCAAGACCAACAACTGCTCCTATTACCATAAACTCCCTTACTGAATATTCTCATCAAGCGCGATTAGTGGAGTTCCTTATTACATATTCACAGAAGATATTTGATGGGCCCCTGCAGCCACAGACTGGAGTTGTGGACACTGCAGGTGTAGTTGATCCTGAGGCCGAAATCAGCTCTCTTCCAAAGACTGTGGTGCCACCAGAAGAAAGGGACTCAGAACATCTCATGAAGCCACTGTTTTATTCTTCAAAGGAAGATATTCATACTACAGATAGTGAAAGCAAATCTTTGGAACCATTTACATCATTTGGGGAATCAGACCGCAAGCAAAATTCATTTAAAAAGTGCACTGGTGAGTGGCCATGTAAATAAGTTCTTTGCTAACTCTAAACTGTGCCAGTAGAGCATGATTGATGCCAAGGTTAGTGGAGTTGAGTGATGTTAGAGAAGAAACGTCATTAGGAAAAGAGTCTGTAGCGCTCATTATGTTGTCTTTCATCGTGCCATGCCTTTACATGAACACCATTCTTTACGATGATCTTACTTATAAAAAAAAAAAGGCATCTCTTAGATTTAAAAGTATTTTTGGAGGTTTTTTTTTGAAAAGTGTTTTTGTTTACCATTCACCGTCAGCAGAAGTAAGTACCAAGCAATGTTATAAATTAGCATCTTTTCGGTATATTGTTTTAACTGCGTCTTAAGGACTCAAACTAGACTCCTAAAACTGGATTGCTTATTTTCCAGAAGCTTTTCCCCTGATGCCTGCCTTGAGCACATTAAGAACCGTTGTGTTTATTTATTTTCTTTTGGTTTTTTCTTTCACTGCAGCCAGTGTATTCAGTGTTTGTCTTATGGTAATTCTGGTTTCAGTGATTGGTAACTGTCAGCTGGTGAAGATGATTCTATTTGTTTGTGTAACTCTCTATATTATTCAAACTCCAGGACCCACTGCCATCAAGCTGATTCCAGTGCAGGACATGTAGGGCAGTGAACTAAACCATAGGGTTTGCAAGGCTGTAAGTCTTTATGTGAACAGAGTGCAGCATCATTCTCATGAGGAACAGCCAGTGGGTTTGAACTGACTGACCTTTTAACCTTTTAAGCACTATGCAACCAAAGCTTCTAATTCATTGCTGTCTGAAAAGAGGAAAATGCGACATAGAGACACAAGGCCCTGAGCATCTCTTTCAGAGAGGGCCAGAAAGAATGAGAACAGCACAGCCGCTCACCACCTCAGAGCAGAAAGCAGATAAGAGGCTGTGGCCCAGCCCCCTGGTTCCTGTAGAGCCTCGGCAACAGCAAGAGGCCCTTTTATTCATTGCTGGCTCACAGACTGACAGTTACTGTACCAGTGATAGGGTTTATTGGGGAAGAAAGTTGGAGAATGGGGGAAGCAAAGAGTATCATTCAAAATAAGTCCAGGTTTTAGCCCAACAGTTCCAAGACACAATTGCTCAATTAGTGTAGGCTTCAGTCTCAATTCAGCAAGCAGCTGTTCTTTCCATAGTCAAAGGCAAGAGTAACAAAAACCGTTAACTGTGGCCAGCAGCAATGTAAGTAGGGTCAGGTCACACCTTGCCACAGTTTCTGCACAGCAATGCCAGTATCTCCACCACCGGCATCTCGCTGCCACAGGCCTTAAATGTCACAAGCCTTGCTCACCTCAAGTTTTGCTGCTCCGTGTGGGAAGCACTCTTTCATTTATCCTAGGCCCACAGCTGATACTGATTTTCAAGACCATGCTGATTTGCAAGATCATGTGTACCATCAATTAAGGTCACTGGAGACCAGAGGGGCTAATGGCTAAAAAGGCCAACTTTTAGTCTATCACAATTGCTAAAGCTAAATTTTAGCCTGTCAAAATGTAGACGGCTTTGATATGGAATACCAGGGGTCATTGACTGGGCTGAAAAGAAGAGCTGTAAGACTCATTGATGGTCTGCTTGCTGTGTGCTAAGCTTTGTGCTGATCATGTGTTCCATTTCTTTCATTTGATCTTCATCAAAGTTCTATGCATTAATCCCACTGAGACTCACAGCCCAAGAGAGGTTAAGTCACATCCAAGGCCATAGTCCAGTCAAGTATTAAACCCAGACCTGTCTGATTCCTAAGCCTGTGTTTATTTTACTATCCTGTGACTTAAGGTCTCTAGTTAGGAATAATAAGAGTATTGAATAGTCTTCCCTGGAACAAAGTGACAGAGCTGAGACAGGAACTCAGGCAAGTGGGCTGGAAGTCTACACACGCGTCCTTTAGGCTTTAAGACTCTCCCTCGGATCATTCCATCAGGTACACTTGATGCTCACAGTCCAGTTGCAATGCGGTTAGATCCCTGGAATGGTCTATGCATGTGGAAAGGACCTGGGAAGCACAGTGAGAAGGCATTGACTTGGTGCGTCAGCCGTATCATTCAGTGAAGGGTCTGAGATGATGATCAAAGGTGACTCTGAGGGGCCCCCTGTATGCGTGGATGTGTCCCCGCGATGTGGGGAAGACGGTGACAGGGAGGAGGACCTCGTCAGTGGTGCACAGGGCAGTCGAAGTTACAGCCATAAAGGTGCCAAGGCCCAGAGGTATTGTCTGTGCAGCAGAAAAGACAACGAGCAGAGGGTCAGATTCTTCCGAGTAGAGGGAATTTTAGGGGGATGGTGCAAAAAGGCACCGGGTTTAAAGGAGATGATGGATTTAGTTTGAGAAAACATGGACATGGTTCCAACTAGGTAGGAATATAAGTGTTTGTGACTGTCAGTCAGGTTAGCTCTAACTCATGACAATAAGAAGAAAGTAAATCTGGAAGCAAACAGTGAGGTGAATGACGTGTTTAAAGTTAGGTGTGCTTACCTAACAGAAAACTTCAACCTTCATTTTACAGGCGGGAGGTTATAGTCCATTTACTAGTTCATCATCTCTGAAGGCATTTTAATAAATTAGTTTGTTATTCTGGTTTGAGGGTAAATGAACGGCAGATTAAGTAAACTGGTAAAAATTTTGTGATTTAGAGCACATCTCTGTTTGGTTAGTGTGTAAATTATTATCATTCTTCTGAATTAGAATCCCAGAACACTTGATTGTGCTTATGTGAAACCTTGGACTAGGAAGCAGTCCTCAGAACGGAGTAGAGAAACACTGCATGGTTCAAAATCAAGAAGGGAGTGCATCAGGGATGCATCCTGTCTCCATACCTTTTCAGTCTATACACAGATCATTAGGGAGGCTGGGATTTATGAGGAGAAATGATGTATCATCAGGGTTGGAGGAAGACTCATCAGCAATCTGAGTTATGCACAATATTGCCTGCTAAGACTGAGGAAGTCCTGAAGTGCTTGCTGCAGAAGGTCAAGGACTGGAGCCTTCAAAATGGTTTGAAGCTCAACATCAAGAAGACAAAATTCTCACCACTGGGCCAATTGGCAGTACCATGATGTATGGAGAAGGGATTGGGGTTGTCATCAATCAACACTTTTGACACCAGCAGTCAGGAAATCAAAGGCAAATTACATTAGGTAAATCTGCTGTCAGGGATCTTTCCAGAGTACTGAGAAGCAACAGTCTAGAAAATAAGGTGCGCCTGATCCAGTTCATGGTCTTGCTATGCATCAGAAAGCTATATGACTAAGGAGGATAGAAGAAGAATTGATGCCTTTAAATTGTAGTGCTGGAGAAGAGTCTTGAACATACCCTGGACCGCCAGGAAAACAAATAGGTCTGTCTTAGAGAGGGTGAAACCAAGTTTCTCCTTGGAGGCTACAATTTTGAAGCTCTGTCTCACATAGTTTGGGCCTGTGGCCAGGAGGGACTGATCCTTGGAGAAGGACATCAAACTCGGAAACGTGGAGGAACAGCACAGAAGAGGAAAACCCCAGATGAGATGGATTGATACAGTAACTAGGGAAGTGGTGGTAGGTGTGTTGGAGCTCTTGAGACTAGACAGGGCAGACTTCAGAGACCACATAGTACGGTAGCTGTGAGTCGCAGACAACTTGATGGCACATAACAACAACAACTTCTGAGGTTAATTTACCAGTGTTGAAATTCTGACAGGCCTTTTATCCAGCAAATAATTGTTCATGAACATGAAATGACATTTTTTTTAAATATTTATTGGGGGGTTTGTGTGTATTTGCTAATCTAGTGTATTTTGAAGCTTTTTATAGTAATGATTTCCAGTGAGTAGAAAATTCTAGCATTTTTAATTCTAAGTGTACCTTTAATTTTTGATGACTGATTTTGATATCTGATTCCTCTGCATAGTTAACATATATTCCATAGAAATATCTAAGGCCGTGTTGTTTGGAGTGCGTGTCCATCTAGAAGTCATTCACATTTCTTAATTAACTAAGTGCCACAGTTTAATTTTTAACTACATCTACTCCTTTTTCAGATGACAAGGAACATTGGCTTCCTGACAACAACATTGAAACCTCATCCCAGAAAGATGACGATGTGTATAAGACCCGTAAGTCACTTGTTCTGAAATGTGATAGAGA